GTTATCGTAAGTTTTTCATTAGATTCTAGAGATCCAAAAAAGTTTATTCTGGTTGTTTTTGCCAGCTTAATCATGGCTTTGGTAGAGGGGCGGTATTTTGGAGCTCCCTATTTCTCCATTTTCAGTTACATCCTGCCTGGTTAGTCTTGAGTCCAAAGGGAAGGACAGTTTCAGTGCACACCGCCTCACTCCATCCGCAGTGGAAGTGGGTGTGGCTGGTCCTGCAGGCTGGTGTAGGCGGGATGCACTGTCCTCAGTGACTCTAGGGTCTCTAGTGCCCCTGTCTGGGGTCTGCTTTCTTGCTAATATTGGCTTTTCTCAGTCCGTAGTAAAATAGTTTGGGAATTACCACCAGCAGAAGCACAGGGACTTGGAAGAGGTAACCACATCACAGATCAGCATTGGCAGGCTGGTCCCATCTGGAAAGGAAGGAAGGAAAAGAGGAGGAGTCCTGATGGGGAGGTAGTCCTGGGGGCGCTCTGCTCCACCTGAAAGAGCTGAGGTTGAGTTTGTGTAGGCACAATGCAGCCAAGCCACTTGGACTTGAAAACCCCTTACTTTCCAGGGTTGTTCTTCACTTCTCTTGATCTGAACTACCCCCACCCCTCACCTTCCCCTGCAGCTAGACTTCCATTTACAGGGTCCTTCCCAGTTGACCACGAGGGCTCAGAGTCAGGGGAGGCAGCCAGGGGACACAGGGGGGCACCTGGGAAAGGGCATGTCGTCCAGGGCATTCTAGAGGATGGGCAGCCCAAAGTATCACAAAGCGGGCTGGGGCACACCATGGGCCTCCCATGACATGCAGGCTGGTGGAGGAAGCTCAATTCCCTCCACATGGGTTTGGTTGTGTCTGGGGCATCCCTTCAGGTCTCAGTGCCACCCCTGACCAGTCCTGCCCTCAGGAGCCTGGCTTTGTTTGCTGGATGTGAACAGGGCTAAGAGGCCCCTGCTGGTCTCAGAATGAAACCAGGTAGAAATGCATTCTCTTTTTTGGGGGGAAAACACTTTTTTCTTTATAAAGTTTGTTTTTTAAAATACATACTCTGTGAGGTACAGTGGCTCACGCTTGTTATCCCAGCATTTTGGGAGGCTGAGGTAGGTAGATCACTTGAGGCCAGGAGTTTGAGACCAGCCTGGACAACATAGCAAGACCCCATCTCTATAAAAAAATAAGAAAAATTAGCTGGGCATGGTGGTGCCTGCCTGTAGTCCCAGCTACTTAGGAGGCTGAGACAGGAGGATTGCTTGAGCTCAGGAATTCAAGGCTACAGTGAGCTATGATCACACCACTGCACTTAAGAAAACATAGGAAAAGTGACTCCCAATGCTGGAAGCCACTTGAAGTCCAAGTGGGTCCTTGGCTTCATGCAAGAAAGAATTCAGGAGCCGACAGTACAAAGTGAAAGCAAGATTTATTCAGAAACTATAGAAAATCCATTCCACAGACAGAGAAGAGGTAGGTTCTCCCTGCAGAAGAGAACCAGCCCCCTAGTTCCTGTTGTCTTTCTATTTAAGCAACCGGCTAAACAAGGAGAGGATATTCATGGAAGGGGTGGTGTTCCTCCACCATCTTGGTTCTAAACGGTTGGAACTTGCCCTGCCTCCATCCTGTTTTGATCACAGCAATTTGAAACTTTGTCTTGAGACTTCCTGACTCAGGTACTGCTGCATCAGTGCCCAAAGCAATGCCCAAGGCATCCCCTGCAGCAATGCCGCACCCAAAGTAGTACCTGCCAGTTCCCTGTCTCACAGTCTGGGCAACAGAGGAAGACCCTGTCTTTAAAAAAAAAATACATACACATATTGTGAAAATTTTGGAAAGTATATGGAAATAATAAAGAAGAAAAAAATCAACTCTATATTCATGTACAGCCCTCCCCCAGAGAGGACATCACCAGACACACCAGGAGTATTTATTCACCTATTTTCCAAACAGAATGGAGACTGTAAATCTTAGTTTTTAATTCATATTTCTATACTTAATATTGCAACATTAATACTTACTATAAACATTTTCATTGTCTTTTCATATTTTCTTTGCGAACAGCACTTTAAATGATTTCACATTAAGGTACATTTGAACATTTCATGGTTTGCTGGACGATTTTTTGGTGGTTGGTTGTGCCAGCTCTTACCATTAACAGACAAACAGGATGGGTCTTTCTGAGGACTGTCATCTGCCCCCTGCCTTCCAGAAGCTCCGGGGTCTAGACACCCTCTCCTGCCCCAAGCCTGCCTGTCCTCCCCCCATCAATTCTGTCCTGGTGTTCCTGTCTCTGATCTGAACTTGGCCTTCCCTGGAGCCCTTGATCCCACTGCTGGCACCCCTCAGCCTTCACCCAAATACAGTCATTGCTGCCCACTTTATTCTCAGGCTGCCCTCTTCCCGCCAGGAACAGCATCCAGCTCACTGCAGCCCAGCCGCCCGCTCCGTGTGCACAGTCGAGTTAGACATTAGCCTGACTCCATAGTTACATCACCATATCCCTGCGCCCTGTTCCTTCTGCCCTGGATCTGGGTACAGCTACTACTCCAGCACCTCCTGGGAGTCCCTGTGTGTTTTGCTTTATATATTTTACTTTATGTACTTTCTGTGAATTGCAACTTTTATGGTCATAAAGTTACCTTCTTTGTCCCGTTTGATGGTTTTGCCTGGAATACAACTTGGTCAAAGCGCAAACTGGACCATGTTCTTCTGGAGAGATGGCCGAGGCTTGCCCAGCACTCCTCTGCCTCTCAGCCCTGACGGGCCAGTGACTCCACCACAGTTATCTGCCCAGAGCAGGCACCAACACGAAACCTTTGTTCTGTCTTCTTGCCTTGCCTGGCTGCTCCAACCAATAGGACCACCGGTGCTCCCTGGGCTGCCCTGGCCATTCAGGGGCAATGAGCAGTGACCATCCTCCCCTGCCATCCTGAAAATGCCACCCAAGTGGTCCTTTCCCACATCCCCCAGACCCTAGAGGAAACAGAGGCCGAGAGGACAGACATCCACATGCCAATCTCCATCCTCCACCACAACACTCCTGTCCATCCTTCTGTCCTCCCACCAGGCTCCGGCTTCTCTCTCCACAGGCTGCCTCCCTCTGGCCCATAAACTATCATCTCTTGGATACCAAAACAAAGCAAGAAATGATAAAAGAAAGAAACATTGATTAGATTATGCAATCTAATGGTTTATTTGTTTGGAAAACAAAACTTAGAACTTAAAAGGCAATTAAATTCCACAGATGTAGCCAATAAAAAAATAATAAAGAAAAATAATCAAAGCAGCAAAATATCTTGCCACGTATTGTGCAGTGTTAGCTTTGGCAGAGATTGAAGTGACAAGCCCAAGGGAGTGTCAGAATACTCCTGAAGGATCCTAAAGAAGGGAGATTTGGCAGTGTGCATTGAGAACCTCTAAAATGTCCATTTCTAGGAAAAAAAATCAATAATAAAGATTTACATAATAGGGTTGTTTGTCATTGAGAACATTGGAATCTATTTAAATGCTCAAAAATTGGAATAGCTCAGTAAACAATGGCATGTCCATGAGATGGAAATCTCTGCAGCCGCAACAAACACTGTTCTCAAAGAATGAGGATGCTAGGTGCAGCCGTGAGTGGTCCAGTAAGAAGAGGAAAAGTACAAAAAGACAGATGTATGCGGCCACCACCAGTTTGTGTACAGCCTATGAATAAGGAATGAATTTTACATTTTTAAATAGTGGAAAGAAAATCAAAAGAAGAATACTGTGTTGTGACACATGAGAAGTACATGAAATTCAAAAACTCATGTCCAGAAATAAAGTTTTATTGACACCCATCCTCCACTCCCTTCCGATTGTCTGTGTCTGCCTTCTTGCTACAATGCAGACTTGAGTGGCTGTGACAGAGACCACATATGGCCTGCAAAGCTGGCAATATTTACCACCTGACCCTTCGTAGAAGACGCTCACCAACGCCTGGTTTATATAAATATGTAGAAAGAAGTCTCCAAGGCAACGGGGCTTTTCAATAGTAACTAGCGATGGGGCGACTGTAGTTTTTCATCCTTTTTCACTTTTCTGTATTTCTATTCTTTCCCTATAATAAGCAGGTACTGCTTTTACAACAGCAACAAAAGTGGAAGTTTTCAATGAAATTGCATATTCACAAAAACTGTCCCTGCGCTCCCCCCTCCACCAGCAGCTGTTCCTCCGAGGGGCTTCTCCCCTAAACGTGGTCACTGAAGGGAACACTCCTCCAGGACCTAGAGAACAGGCTCCCGGTTCCCAGGCAGGGCTCCAGGAGTATAAAGTGATGAGTCTGGGCCTCTCCGGGTACATGGCTGGGTCTGACCTGCCCTCTTGCACCAGCACTTCCCCCTCGGGTGGCCACACGGAGCACTGCAGGGCAGGGACCATGCGTGGGTAGTGGGCTGAGAGGGGCTCTGACTGCTGTGGCCTTGACCCCTTGAGGGGCCCCTACTTGGAGAGGCTTGTCTCTCCCGCAACGATGGTGGTCAGGAGGCTGGGGCCCCCTCCTCCCCACCAGAGAACAGAGGGGCCAACTTGGTGACCTGGGGGTACAGCGGCTGTGAGACTCTACTCTCTTGGGTGGGGGTGAGCTGCTTGGTGCAGGGGGCACAATTGAGGGGAGGGTTGAGGAATGTCCCTGTGTGGGTCAGGGCAGGTGGTGAGAGACGGAAGCCTAAGAGGGCTGACCAGAGAGTCAGGGCCGGAGATGAGGGCGTTGGCAGGTTAGGGGGAGGGTAGGAAGGCAAGCCCACATCCAGGGTCCTCTAAGCCCAGCAAAGAGTGTCCTCTCCCCACCCCACAGAGTGCCCTCAAGGCAGAGAGGTCACCGTCCCAGCCCATCTAGGAAGTGAGGCTCAGAGAGGCCAGGTGAGACCAGTTGCTGGTCAGAGGCAGACAGGCACCTTGGTCAGGTTCTGCCAGCACAAGACAGCCCATGACTGCACCCCATGGTCCTGGAGGGGCTCATCTGGGGTCTCAGTGCTTTCTCTGTGTCCCCCAGGTGTCTTCCTGCCCCCATCCCCAGCAGCAGCAAACGAACCAGTCCTGGAAGAAATGGGGATTGTGGCCTTGGCACCTTTGGCCGAAATGCTGAGCAGCCCACAGCCCGGCCCCACGGCAGGCTCCCTCATGAACCCCCTGGTGGGCCCACTCAACACCCTGCTGTCCGGCCCAGTGCCCGTGCCACAGAGCAGCCCCCTCACCAGCCTTCTGGCCAGCCCCTTGGCCATGCCCCCTGGGGGCACCCTGGCCAGCTCCCTGGGCCTGCCCTCGACTGGGCCCCTGAGCAGCCCCCTGACCGGCCCTCTGGCCAACTCCCTGGGCCTGCCCTCAACTGGGCCCCTGATTCCCAGCAGTCCCCTGGCAGGCCCAGTGGCCGTCTCTCTGAGCAGCCCCCTGCTCAGCTCCACAGCTGCCCCTCTAGGTGTCTCACAGAACCTTATGGCTAACCCCATGAACAACCTGGTGCTGTCGGAGGCCCCAAGGGTGCGGCTGGCAGAGACACTCCGTGGGTGCCCCTCGGGGCCCCAGGTAGCCTGCATGGTGCCTACTGCCAACTCCAAAGGTAACAGGTGTAGGGGGGTGGGCACAAAGTGCCAGGGTGGATCCTCCTCCTCCCCAACCCCTCCCCCCTCACTCTAATCCCCCTCCTCTCATTTCTGCCCCTCCCAATCACCAGCCCCACTCTCCGCTGAGAACCCCCGGCCAGCCCAGGACCCAGAGCACCTCAGCATGACGTTTGTGGGCACGCCCCTGCAGACCTCCACCCCAGTGGGCAACCTGGGTGCACCTGGCCCCTCAACAGCCTTCTCCTATGGCACTGCAGATGCCCGGGTCCATTCCAGCTGCCCGCAGGGACAAATGGTCCCTGCCTCTGTCCCCACCACCACCACCTCCCCCACTGTCACCGTGCTCGCCTCAGCCCCAAACCTCACCTCCCAAGCTGCCACCAGCTGCACCCCCTTGAGCACACCCCACATGGCCCGAACACAGCACTCCCCCACCCGGACCCCGGCCACCCACCACTCTCCTCCACACAACCCCTGCTCCCCGCCTCGCACCTCATCCTCCCCAGCTTCGGTCAGCGACACCCGGAGTCCACGCACCACAGAATCATCTCGGAAAAGTGTCATGGAGTTGGATCGGAAGCTGACCCACCGCAAGATCAGCAAGTTCCCCGAAAGAGCCCGAGGTTAGTGACCTGCAGGGGCTCAGCAGGAGTCCAGGGACTCCCCCCCAGGCCATCTCCCTTGCCACCCCCTCCACTGGCGACTCAGCTGAGAGACCCTTTGCTATCCCCAGAGTCGAAGCAGCTGGCCTGGGAGAGGCTGGTGGGGGAGATCGCCTTCCAGCTGGACCGCAGGATCCTGTCCAGCATCTTCCCAGAGCGCGTGCGCCTCTATGGCTTCACTGTCTCCAACATTCCGGAGAAGATCATCCAGGTGTGTAGCTGTCTGTCTCCCACACAGCGCCAGAGGGGCCTGCAGGGATGGGGGCACGCTGGCTCATGAGGGACCCTTGAGGGGCCATGGACTCCAGGCAGACCAAACATGCCAGAATCCAGGGGTTGGAGGAAGCACAGTGCTCAGCCCCAAGGCACGGCCTCCTCAGAGCACGGCCAGGCAGCTCTCCCTCTGGGCCACCAGGGTGGCCTCCAACGATGGTTCCCAGGGGTGCTATCTGTGTTCTCCAGGGTCCCTGGGGGAGCCTCTGAGCAGTGGTAGGCCTGGTTACTGGGGACCCCAAGCCCCAGGCTCATTCCCACGCATTCCCAGGATGTCATCCACTCAGCCTCCTCTGTGGAAGGGCATGGAAGATGACACCTCTGCGAACATGTTGAAATGCGTGTCTCTGTGCCACCATGTGTGGCAGGCTGTAGAAGACAGTGAGGAGGGATCCGGGTTGGGCATTCAGCTGGTCTTCAGTGAGTGCCAGGCCCTCTCCTTCCCGGGCACCACAGGGTGGGACCACCGTGTCCCTACGTATTCACCACTTGGGCTTCTCTCTTTTTTTTTGTTGTAAATACAAATGTTTGGTGGGTGGGCGGCAACAAAGGCAGAGAAGACAGTGCTGTGCACAGCTGGTATAGGTTTGGAGGCTGAATGCCGCACAGAGAGAGACAAACACAGATGGTCCACCCAGCAGGGCAAGCCAGGCAGCATTCTGGGGCCTATAATGCTTGCTTGATGGGCAAGAGCTGGTAGGTCTGATCCAGGGCTGGAGGGGCCCAGGCACCTTGGAGGCTCTCTAGTCCCAGGTTCTGGGCGGTGTCGGTGGTGGCACCTGGGCTCGGCTCACATCACTCAGGGCCTTGCGGGCAAACTCGGGCAGTACAAAGGCTCCCTACATCTGTTCCACCTGCTTCTGTGTCAGTTGTTGCACAGGCTCCTGGAAGTTGATGTTCAGGTTTTTGTTGCACAGCACAAAACCCATCTAGCCGCTGGGGTAGGTGGGGATGGTGCAGGAGGAGTAGCCTACCATGGGAAAGAGCCACTTGCAGAACTGTCACATCTCCTTGATGAGGTCCAGGTGAGCCACTGGCACGTACCCTGCTGTCTTCATGAGCTAGTGATAGGATTCCTTGAAGAGGCTTTCATTGGGGCCCGTGGGGTCTGAGGAGTCAGTGCTGATAACATTGAAGGCATCCTGGTTCTGTTTCATGAACCCAAAACTGTCGCCCATGTGTAGGGTCAGCTTTTAGCTAGAGTAGCCACTGGCCATGCCCAGCAGGAACTTCTTAGAGGCTTGGATGACATCCTCCTCAGTTTTCCACTGGACCATGGACTCCATGGTGGGTGCTTCACCTCTTGCAGAATGCCCTGTCGCTGCCCAAGAGGATTAGCACTTTTGTGGGCTGAGGTGGCTGCAGAAAGGCAGGTTGGCATCACCCCTGGTAGGAGAACTTGTCCTTCTCCATGCACTGGGTGACACCATCCAGCACTGGCATGTTGTAGTAGATCTTACTGTGGAAGATGAGGATATTCCAGCACCGTGAGCGCTAGTTGGGGAGCAGCTGCTTCGCCTGCAGCGACAAGGCCTGGCTGGGCCACAGGCTGCCAGTCTCTTCTTATCTCATTGAACTAGCCCTCCGATGGCCTCAGGGCCAACCCGGCGGGGCTCCATGGTGGGCAGGCAGGTGGTGCAGGGCACAGATCCCCACTCCAGCTTCTCTTGGGAAAACAGCCCTACTGAGTTCCCGGCCACTTTTTCCCTCAGGCTATCTTGGTGGATTGTAGACAGACATTTTGTGTGGAGTCTGGGCAGGAACAACTTTGGGTTAAATGGGTTGATTTTGGGTCCAGGTTTGAGCTTGCCTTTTCCTTTGGTTAGGTTTTAATGTGGGTCAAAACTATCAACCTTTTTCTTTATTGTTTGTACTTTTCATGCCATGCTTAAGAAATCTTCCCCTCTCAGAAAGTCTAGAAAGTATTCTATATTTTCTGTCTTCTAGATTATTCTATATTTTCTTCTAAGGGTTTGAAGTTTGCTTTTTCACATGTGCCTTTGACTCACGTAAATGACCAAGATGGCCAAGATGGATGGCGTAAGATGGGCTTCTTCCCAGCATGGGCAACCCCTTGCCTAGCACCAGAGGCCCCAGGACACAGATGGCCTGTAGGATTAGGGTGACCTTGTGGAGTTTGTTGTGATAAGTCCCCTTACAGGCCTGTGTGCATGCGGGCTTCTTCACAGCCTCCTCCGACTCCATGTTTTTAGAGTTTGACATAAGTGACTCCATTTTCATGCCAGCAACTTTCACACATTTCCCCGTTTTAATCAAGATCTTTCTCTGAAAGCATTGCTGATCCATTTTTTTTCCCAGAGACAGGGTCTTGCTCTATCATTCAGGAGTACAGTGGCACGATCATAGCTCACTGTGTAACCTCCCTCCAACTCCTGGGATCAAGCAATCCTCCCACCTCAGCCTCCTTCTGAGTCATTGAAACTCAGGCATGTATCACCACGCCCAGCTAATTTTTTTATGTTTTGTAGAGATGGGGTCTCACTATGTTGCCCAGGCTGGGCTTGAACTCCTGGCCTCAAGTGATCCTCCTGCCTCAGCCTCCCAAAGTGTTGGGATTACAGATGTGAGCCACTGTGCCCAGCCTGAACAATGATTTTAAAGTCAGATTTGATTGTCCCTCAGTGCCAAGATGGACCTGTTCTGGTTGGTCTGGTCCCATGTCGGGGGGGAAATGGCTAACAATTAGTAGTCAATAACAAAACCTTTTTAGCCATATTCGAGCAACAAGGGGGCCACAAGAAGCTCTCAGGCTTAGTCTGCCTAGATTTCATTGTTAAGGTTAATTTTTTCTGTTTCATTGGTGTTGGCCATCATCTCAAAATGCTAGGCCAGCATTACCTTGTACTTTTGCAGAAAGTTGATAGGCAATGAGGACAAAGTTTTAATAGTATAACACTGAGTAAAAATAACAGTAATATGACAAGCCCAGTTTGCACAATAGTTTTGAGCCATGACGCAAGGCCCGAAGGTAACCAACTAAACAAATCAAATGACCATGGGGAGCTGGGTGAGCCCTGTTGTAGCCCTGTGGCCTATTTTCTTATTTCATGTAATTAGTTCTCAATTTCCCCAGACAAAGTCATCCAGGAACAGCGTCTGGCATCAGCAATAGCAGACACCACCTTGTTCAGCAAACAGATAATCAGGGGCAATGCTGTTATCTAAGACTACCCTGGCAAGAGAAGCTAATGAATGTTGTTGTGTAGTGATATCCTTTGTAGCAGAGTCTCTGAGAATTCCTAGAGTAAAGGAATTGGCACTTAGTTTTGGGTTGAGAAAATTGTAAGACACCTTGTATCAGTCTGCATCTAAGTGTAGTCCACTTTCTGAAATTAAATAGCCGAAATATTGGTCGCGCGCAGTGGCTCACGCCTGTAATCCTAGCACTCTGAGAGGCCGAGGCGGGTGAATCGTTTGAGCTCAGGAGTTCGAGACCAGCCTGAGCAAGAGCAAGACCCCGTCTCTACTATAAATAGAAAGAAATTAGTTGGACAACTAAAAATATGTAGAAAAAATTAGCCAGGCATGGTGGCACATGCCTGTAGTCCCAGCTACTCGGGAGGCTGAGGCAAGAGGATCGCTTGAGCCCAGGAGTTTGAGGTTGCTGTGAGCTAGGCTGACGCTACGGCACTCTAGGTTGGGCAACAGAGTGAGACTCTGTCTCAAATAAATAAATAAATAAATAGCCGAAATATTTGACTTGGGGTTTTACCAGTTGTAACATTCTGAACATAAAGTTCAGAAACTTTATGACCTTTGGTAGCTAAAAGTTTTAATACGTGTACACTGTCTTCCTGATATGCCACCTGCCAGGGAGAACAGAGGAGAAGGTCACCACATACTGCAGTAGAGTCGATTGTTGAGGGAAGTAAACATCCTGTATGTTGGCCTTTAAAGTTTGTGAAAAGTAAGAGGAGCTTTCAGTGAATCTTGAGCGGGACTGCCCAGGTATATTGTTGGCCTTCCCAAGAGAAGAAAAAAAGGTATTGGCTGGCTTGGTTCACCAGAATACTGAAGAACGCACTGCACCTAGCAGTAAGAGTGGAGCACGTGCTCCCGGCTGGAATCAGGGTGAGCAAGGACCAGGCTGGGATGCCCAGTGGGGGTGCAGCAACATTGTCTATCATGGGAGGGCCTTAAACAAATCTCCACCCACAGGCATCAGGTTCTTTACAGGCAGGATTGGGTTGTTACAAATGCTGGTACGCGAGATAACGAGCCTTTGCCTTCTACTCTTCAATGATGGCTTTAATGCCCAATAGAGCTTCTTTGCCTAAAGAGAACTGGTTAATCCTGGGCAGAAGTTTCGATGGGTCAAACTGAATCTTAATAGGGGGTGCACTATGAATCCTGCCTACATATATTGACAATTTTGTCCATTAAGATATGCATATTTAGTAAGATAGAAGGAATAAGAGCTAGTGTTCAGTGGCACAATAGGGTGACTATGGTTAACAATAATTTATTCTGTATTTTGAAATAACAAAAAGAGTGGATTGGAATGTTCCCCCACAAAGAAATGGTAAATGTTTGAGGTGATGGATATCCCAGTTACCCTGATTTGATCATTATACATACTTGTATCAAAATATCACATGTACCCTATAAATATGTACTTATTCTGTATCCATAAAAATTAAAAAGAAAAATAAAGAGACAGTATTTGACCCAGTAGAAGGAAGTGAGTTAGGCATTTTTTTTTTTTTTTGAGACAGAGTCTCACTCTTTTGCCCAGGCTAGAGTGAGTGCCGTGGCGTCAGCCTAGCTCACAGCAACCTCAAACTCCTGAGTTCAAGTGATCCTTCTGCCTCAGCCTCCCAGGTATCTGGGATTACAGGCATGCGCCACCATGCCCGACTAATTTTTTTCTATATATTTTCAGTTGGCCAATTAATTTCTTTCTATTTTTAGTAGAGACGGGGTCTCGCTCTTGCTCAGGCTGGTCTCAAACTCCTGAGCTCAAACAATCCGCCCGCCTCGGCCTCCCATAGTGCTAGGATTACAGGCGTGAGCCACCGCGCCCGGCTGGCATTTTTTATTTGAACGGGGAACAATATAGTAAAACAAGGGGATTAGGAGAGATGGGGGCTCTAGAGTCAGCCAGTTTGACCTGATTTGCCAAAGTCCAAAATATTTCCCCCTTTCAGGAGAAAGAGATTCCTACATGGTATTTTTCCAAAAACTCTCAGCCAAGAAGGTGGGTTGGAGCAGAGTCCCTAATAAAGAGCAGTGGGTGTGCTGTAAAGGACCAAGGAGGAAAGGGATAGGTAGGGACAGAAAGATATTTGAGGGCTGTGTGAGACCCCACTATTGGACTTCAGTATCACTCCAAGGCAGCTTAGGGGGTTGGTGGGGTTGGCTCCAGCGTCAATGAGGACCTCATTCCCAGTCAGAAGGGTTGTTTCCCTTCCCAAGATGACTGGAGGGAAGGATGGGGAAGTGGCCCTGTAATTCTGCAGATCCCCATCTCTGGGAATGTGTACCTAGAGGTTCCTGAGGGAGAGGTCGTTGGGCCTTCTTTCACATATCGCAATCTCTCTTCCATTGTCCAGGCTTTTTGCAATAATGGCAGAGACAAGGAGGATTTTGTTTGGGGGCCTCTGTCTGTTGGAGCTGGAGATTGAGGATTTGGCTAGTTTTCTATTTGTCAGCATCCTCCAGAGTACAGGCTAGCTGATTAGCCAAATTTACTAAATCCAGAGTGGACATCGTTTCCCGTTCTATGCAGGTTCTTTTAAAAAGTTGGGAAAGTTCTTGAGAGAGGCCATTCACAAACATAAAATTAAAGGCTACTCAAGTAGAATGGGAATCCACTGGAAGTCCAGGGTTTTCCTGAAAAACAACCTAGAGTTGGCCATAATAATTATGAAATGGCTCATTAGGTTCTTGGGTGTGACCTTGGATCTAGTTCCAATCTAGCCTCAGGAAAGGCTATGGCAACGGCCTTATGAAGGAGTCTAGCTAAATTACAAGACTCTTTCCAATATTGGGGTATTTGTTTTTCTAAATGTTGGTCAGGGTGAGTCCATTCAGGTTTGGCCGTCCAGTTGGACCTGGCCTTCACTGACAAGCATGTGACCCCACTGGTTTAGATCAGAGAAGTCAGGCTGATAAGACTACATTACTATGTCGAATTCATCAGCCAATCAGGGAGTGTCTTCAGCGGCTTTTGGAAATTCCTTGGCAATGACTCAGTTCAGCTTTAGTCCAAGGAACACTGGAGACTCGGGTTTTATCTGTGTCGTCGGAGGATTTTATTTAAAGGGGAAGGTTTTAATGGATTCCAGCTAAGGAGTAGCTGCCAAGGAGTCTGGGGAGAGAGGGAGCTCAGCCAGAGAAGGGTGAGGAGAAGGGGGGGGTGCTAGGAAGGGAGGGGTAGGCTCCAGAGTGGGAGAAGACCTTTGTATCCTCTTTAAATTGTGTATGTGTTGCAGCTGCCTTTGAGATGGTGTTTGTGGTGAGACAATTGTTGAGTCCTGGATGTGTTTTGAAACCTCAAGGTTCCAACTGAAATATGTGTCCCTTTCAGGCTGTTTAACCCTGTAGCCATGATCTTCTAGTTTAGTCCTAAGAAAACGATCTTCGAAAGTTTGATCCCCATCATGGCCACTTAACTCACCAAAGTCTTTAACCAGGTACGCAAGCCAACCAAAAATGAAACCAAAAAGGAACTCACCAGAAGGACCATGTCCTTTTATAAAGGTCTTATAAAACAAGATCCCAAATAAAGTCAGAGGATTCCCTCAACCAAAGGGAGGGAATTCAGACCCAAGAGGTGATTTACCATCCAGGGATGATGACTTGTGGAGGTTAAGAGCACATGGGCTCTCGTGGGTACCATCGTGTGGTTCTTGGGGTTGCCAATCTGGAAAAGGCTTGTCTTCTTTGGGTCCTACTTCTAACACCAGATGATGTCAATCTAAAAAGAAACTCAGAAAGACAAGCTCTCCAGAACACATGAGTTTATTTGGGAATAGCAGAGGATTGCAATCAGAATACGCAGGCTATGATGGATCACAGGCATATCCAGGGGAATCGGGGCAGAGGGGAAACTTTTAAAGACAGAGAAAGAAGCCTATGAAAGCTGCTTTGAAACGAAGTCACAGGACACAGAAGCTCACTGCAGTGAGCTGCACCTAGTTTGTTGGTGGAGACAGCCATTGCTAGGCAAGTGTCTTTGAACAAGTGGCATACCTGGAACACTGCAACCTTCAGGAAGTTCTTGCAGTAAGTCCTGTTTCAGGCTTGTGTTCATGAGGGCTTCTTCATGGCCTCCCAACTCCCTCTTATTGGTTTGACATAAGTGACTCCTTTTTCGTACTGGCAACTTTCACAGGGGCTTTTGGCTGTCTTTTTATTGATTTCTAACCCACTTGCCCTGTGTTCAGAGAACACTGGTCCTGTGACATGTGCTGTCGTTCCCTTACAGAGTGTGTGGCTGGCGTCGTGGGTGCTCTAGGGTGGAAAGTGGGGTGGTGAGCACGTGTGCTCATCTTGGAAGAATGCATGTGTGTGGTTACGCCTTCTCTCCTCCACATCCCGCCCAACACCAGGTCCTCCTGGGCCCCCCTAAATGTTCTTCCCATCCACTCACTTCTCTCATCCTCCACTCCTGCCCGTGGTCCACATGCCGTCCCCTCTTCCCTGGGGAAGAGCCAAGTGTACACCAGACAGGCACAGCCCCTGCCTTCAGGCAGCACCTCCTCTGCTGGGAAGGCCTGCAATAAACCCTAGGTAGAGGGTCAGGAGGTGCTGTGTGCTGTGGGGGCAGGAGTATTTGAGGGAGTGGTGCTGAGAGACAGTGGCACGGCTTTGCAGCCTCCCCCCAGCCAGATCCTGGCCTCAAATCTCAACATCCTGGACGCCCCTGCCTTCTCTATTTCTTTAGAGGCAGCCAGAGTGATATTTCTGAAACACAATTCTGCTGCAGTGTGAGGGGCCACTCACATTTCCCATGGTGGGGGTTCAGAGCCCGTCTCCGCGGTGACCAAACAGGCACTGCGCTCAGTGTTCACTGGTGTCATTTCCTTTAATCCTCAAAACAACCATCAGGTAGTGCGGTGATTTCCTCCATGTCACAACAGGAAAACTGAGGCTCAGACCCCACATGGTAACACAAGCAGCCATCGAACCTGGTTGCTAGGGCACCGCTGGCATCTCCCTGCTCACCCCTTGTGCTGGTTCTCTGCCTGGAAGACTTGGGGACACTGGCTGTCCCAGGTGCTGCCCAGCAATGAAGGCTCTGGGAGCACCTGCCAGAGGTTAAGGGTTAGTTAGGCTGAGCCCAGTCCTGAGTCCAGCCTGTGCCTGGTGCTCTCTGCTTATACAGCCAGCCTGGGAGGTGCGGCCAAGGGAGTCTCCCAGGGAGGTGATGCCTGAACAGCCTGTCTGGGCAGAGTGGAGAAGAGTATTCCCAGCAAGCTGGGAATCTGCATGTTGGTAACAGGGCCAGATCGGGCTAACCCTAACCCTAACCCAGCAGGCTGGCCCTGGCGCCAAGAGTGGGAGCAATGGGAAGTGCAGAAGGGTCTCAGGAGGGGAGAGCCTACCCGCCCCCACTTCAGACCATGGCTCTGTGGGTCTGTGCAGAGAGGGCACAGGGGCACCTGTAGCAGACAGGATACAACATATTGGCAGGGCCCAGTGCAAAATGAAAACACAGGGAGCTTGTGCAAAACATATTAAGAACTTCGGGATGGGGGCAGCAGAGCACCAAGCTGAGCGAGGGGCTTCATATGACTGCCCAGGTGACGTGCCCAAGAGACAGTAGCAGGGGGTGGAGAGCAGGGGCTGCCATCATGATGAGACGGTGCAGGATGCAGCCACTGCCTGGCTGGTGAGACAGGAGCAATGAGGAAGTGACCATATGCCGCTGATCCCCAGGTCCAGGCACAAGGGGGAAGTAAAAGCAGCCCCATAAGACATGCAGGCCAGGAGGTGCTGAGGATGGGAGGGGTCTCCAGAGGAGGCAGAGAGAGAGCAGGGAAGGGAGCCAGGAGGAGGCCCAGGAAAGCCTGTGATTCTTGGGTCCAGCAGCCCTGGGGGTATTAGGAGTCCCTCTGCTACCCCGGTCCTTCCTTTGCCTCCAGACTCCCAGCCAGGCTCCCTGGCCTCAGCCCCTGCTGGCCTTAGCCCCGTCCCAAATCCCTGGTGGTGGATGGAGCAGGCGATGGGGATGGGGTTGTGCTCTTCCTCCCCTGTGGCTGAGGCCCCACTGGGAAGCTCCGGGGGCCACTTGCCCTCCCTGAGTCAGGCCTGGGGAACCTACCTCTCCATCAGCTCTGCCCATTGGGCTCTCCTACCCTGGACCCTCAGGCCCCTCGCAGAACCCCCTCCACATCCATGCCTCTGAGTGTGATCCTCCCAACAACTTCCCTCAGCATCATTTGCCCTGTGCTTGGGGTATGGTGTGGAAGGGACCGGATGGCTGCTCTCCCCACAGGCCTCCCTGAACCCTAGTGACCACAAGCTGGATGAGGACCTATGCCAGACGCTCACGCAGCGCTATGTGAGCATCATGAACAGGTTGCAGAGCCTGGGCTACAACGGCCGGGTGCACCCCGCACTGACCGAGCAGTTGGTGAATGCTTACGGCATCCTGCGAGAGCGGCCTGAGCTGGCAGCATCTGAGGGTGGCTCCTACACTGTGGATTTCCTGCAGCGTGTGCTGGTGGAGACTGTGCACCCCAGCATGCTCACTGATGCACTGCTGCTGCTCTCCTGCCTCAACCAGCTGGCACATGACGACGGCAAGCCCATGTTCATCTGGTGACGCTGGCGCCCGGTGGCCCAGGCTCGCTCTGCCCCGCCCTGTGCAGGGCCATTAAAGCTTTCCATAGACGCTGGCCACTGGGCCTGCACCAGCACTCTTGGGTGGTACTGCGTCCCCTGCGGTGGCCCGCCAGACCCCTGCACTGTGCCCCTGTAGTCCTGCCTGCCTTGGAGATCCACACCCATCCCCGGGGCTCAGCACTGTCTGGCTGAAGGGGTTGGTCCGAAGGCCCCAGGCTCCCCTCACTTAGCACTGGGAGCAGCAAGAGTTCCTGAGACTTGGAGCAGGAAGAGCAGGAATTGGGAAGGAGTGGAGAGGGCAGGGAAGGGCTGTGGCTCTGTGCCAGCAGCACTGGTGAGGGACACAGAGCAGGGACCTCAGTGCAGAGCACAAGGCAGAGGTAGGAGGAGGCAAGTATGTGGGTGTGGGAGCTCCTCCCTGCATATTAGGCAGGGTCTGGGGAGGGGGGTATCTTCTGGACCTTGAAGACAGGAAAACATTAGAGGGAGTGTAGCTGCAGCTCACCCAAACCTGGATGAGCACGGGCACATGGCAGTCCTTTCCCAAGACACCCAAGGTCCAGGAAGAAAGGCCCACTCCACAGGGTCCTGGAGACCTGGGGTGGGGGGCTCAGAGCTGGCAAGTGCAGAGCCCACCTGTCACGGGGACTAAAGGCACAGGCAGGATGGGGGAGTAAGTGAAGTGGGGGCAGGGAGGGCTTCTGGGAGGGGACCTGTAGATGGAGGTCGAAGGGCCTGTGGACAGTGCAGGAAGCTGAGGGGTTCTGGCCAGGGCAGGCTGTCCCTGCGGAGGGAGTTCCTGAGGGGGAGAGACGGGCAATGTGGGAAAGTCCAGAGTGGCCTCTGGCCTACAGGTAGAAAAGGAGAGCCTGCCTGAGAGAAGGCAAGGAAGCACTGGCTGCGATGGGAGGAGAGGGGATAAGGACCCCCCACCAGAGGAAGGTCCCAGAGCACCAGTGCTTGCTAGCCAGCGAGGATGGCAAGAGGGACCGGAGGAGCCACCAGGTCTGGGTTCAAACGGGAATCTCATCAGCCACCAGCACGGAGTCCAAAAGCTGGGAGCGTGGTGCCAGGGGGCCCTTCAGGATGCCCAGGCCCAGGGCTGGCTGCCTCTCTGGCCTCTCTACTCCCAGACCTCCTGAGGCCTCAGGGGATCCAGCCCAATAGCTCTTGGGAGGGGCAGGGAAGGACTCCTGACCCAGAGGGCAACTCCGGGGCCAGCCTTGCCATGTGGGGCCCAGAAGCCTCTCCACCTCCCTGCCAGCCAGGTGGAAGGGCACCCCTGACCCAAATCTCCAGGGCTACTTAAGACACTTAGCTGAGCAACAAGGGTCAGAGCTGGTAAGGCGCTGTTCCCAGCCAGCCTGAGGGTTCAGGCGTAGGCAGAGAGGGGTGCTTCTAAAGCAAGGGTGCTTCAGAAGTGTAGGAGGTAAGCAGCGCCTGGAAGCTCCAGGCACAACCGTCCTGGGAACCAAGGGAAAAAGTGCCAGAGGGCTCCGCCAATGGGGGAGCTGGCTTCCATGCTGCTCGCGTGCAGCCGCAGCGGGCGGCGCAGGGCAGAACCAACGGTCCCTATCCCCCAGATTGGAAGCTCCTTGGGTTAGGGTCACAGGGCCGCCGCCACTGAGGCAGCCCTTTGGAGGACTTTGATGGGCGCTGGGCGGGAGGCTGGTTAGGCGGCTCCTAGTCCGTCCTCTGTCTGGTGTCGGGTCTTTGAACTCAGGCGCCGGACACCGCGGGACTCCGCAGAGACGCGGCGGGGTAGACCCGGATGCAAAGCACACTGCTCTCCCCTCGCCAGCGCTGCGCCCGCCGGTACTCTAGAAGGGTCGCCTCCACCTACGGCTGGCTGCACCCTGGGGCTCTGAGGTACCCCCTGCGGCCTTCAGGGGTGGATAGGGCGGGGCAAGGAGAATCTGGGCGGGGCTATGAGGTCAGGGTCTCTTTTGCTTTGTCTTTTGTTCTTTCCAAGGGCCGCCGAAATCGCTAGTGAGGAGAGGGCAGCTTCCCCGAAGCACCCCTCTCTGCCTACGCCTGAACCCCCAGGCTAGCTAGGAACAGCGCCTTATTGGCGCTGACCCCTGTCGCTCCCCAGCTCGCGCTCACGCGCCTGGGCGCCCGCCGCTGAGAAGCCCCGTGTGCCATGCAATCCCCGCCGGACTGGCCCCCGACGCCCGACGCCCTGCGACCCTCGCCCTTCCCGCACCCCCTGCTACACGCCCTCCACAGCGTGGGCCGCGTGCTGCTCTTCCCAGCTTACTGGGCCCTGGACCAGCTGCTGGGCTGCTGTGCACCAGCGACGCGAGCAGCCCGCCTGGGGTGGCTGAGAGCGGCGGCGGGCGGCGGGGCGGCGCTGCTGCTGCTGCTGCTGGTCGGCCTGCCCCTGGCACTGCCCGGCCTGCTGCTCTGGCTGCCACTGCAGGCTTGGCGCCGCCCCTTCTGCTACCGGCCCGCTCCGCCATGTTGGGTGCCGCCTGCGCCTTGGTGCCCGCCCGCTGAACCCGTGCGCTGCTTCGTCTTCCTCTCGGCCAATCTGTGCCTGTTCCCTGACGGGCTGGCGCGCTTCAGCAACCTGTGGCACAGCCAGCGGCGGGCCGAGGCCATTGGAGCAGCGCTGCTGGCCGGCCTACGGCCCTCGCTCTACAGAGCTACGGACTGCAGTCAGCCGTGGCCCCGAGCGAAGCGCGGGGTGGTGGTGGCCGCAGTGCCTGCGGGTCTGGATTTTGTGTGCCTGCAGGAGGTGTTCGATCTGCGCGCCGCTCGGCGCTTGGTGGGCCGCCTGGCGCCAAATATGGGCCCGGTGCTGTACGACGTGGGTACGCTCGGCCTGCAGCCTGGGCCGCACCTCAAGCTCCTGGGCAGTGGGCTGCTGCTGGCCTCACGCTATCCGCTGCTGCGTGCCACCTTCCGTTGCTTCCCCAACGCGCGTGGCGAGGACGCGCTGGCCTCCAAGGGATTACTGTCCGCACAGGTACCGGTTCTTCGGCGGAGGCACGCCCTGGTTGGGGAGGGGCCAGGGTGCTAGGTGGAACTGGCAAGGGGAGCTGGGGCTGTCTGGTGTTGCAGGCGCAGCTGGGCCACCTGGACGGGCGCCGCATAGTGGGATTCCTGCACTGCACGCACTTGCATGCACCGCCTGGTAAGCCCTGGGGGTGGGGTCCTCGGAACTTAGCCAGGCCGTCCTGCCCCTCTCTCCGTGGTGGCTTTGGATCCCTATTCTACCTGCACCTCTACTCCTCACCTCCCACTGTCTGTTCACTGGCCCAGGCACCAGAATTCCTGAGAGGTGACTGGGTAGGCTCACAGATCAGGAGTGGTAGGGTGGGGGGTGTCCAGGATGCGGATCCGCACCCTGGGCTGATTAGACTTCACACCCCTCCCCTCTACAGAGGATGGGCCCTTGCGCTGCAAACAGCTGACGCTGCTGCTGGACTGGGCGGAGCAGTTTGAGGCCGAGAGCGGCCAGAGTGACGAAGTCGTGGCCTTCAGCGTGCTCCTGGGCGATCTAAACTTCGACAACTCGAAATGTGAGAAGAGGCTGGGGCGAGCGGGGCCAGGAGGTCTGGCCCCGCCCACCGAGCACGAGCCTCTCTCTCCGTAGACCATGAGCAAGAGCAGCGGCACAAGCTCTTCAGCTGCTTCCAGGACCCCTGCCGGCTGGGGACCGGCCAGGAGCAGCCCTGGGCCCTGGGTACTGTGCCTGGGGGCTGGGGGGTGGTGCGGAGGGGAGGGTGGATAAGCTCAAGGTCTGTGGGCCCAATCTCCCACTAACACGGCTCTCCCCTGGCCTCCCACAGGGACGATACTGAGCACCCGCAAGCTCCACCACTCGGTGGCCAGCTCCCCAGAGATGCTGCGGAGGTGAGAGGCGACCTGGGGGCCAGGCCCTCGGCCCACGGAGTGCCCTGGCCTTGGTGACACCACCCCTCCCCCAGGGCCCTGGAGCAGGAGAAAGGGCGCCACCTATACCTGGCAAGCCCTCCCTTGGGAAGGAGCTGGACCAAACCCTGGCGGGGCCGGCGGCTGGACTACATCACGTACCATGGAGTGCCCGGGGGCCCGCTGAGTCCAGTAAGTGCCAGAGTTCAGGGCTGGGCCTGCAGGCGCTGGGATGACCCCCACCGAACCTGACTCCCGCCCACAGGAAGTGGAACAGGTGATGTTCAGTACCGCCCTGGCGGGGCTCACAGACCACCTGGCCGTGAGCCTGCAGCTCCGAGTCTCGGTGGCCTCCTAACGCAGGCACACAGAAGACAAGCGCGCAGCCGGCACAAACAGCACAACGCAGAGCTCGAACTTGGCCCGGTAGCCGCGCCCTGAGAACCGGGCGACTGAAGGGATCTTTATTGTGGAGGCTCTCACACAGCCTCCTGGGCCCGGCGGTAATCATAGACGCTGCCGCGCTGCGGGAAGGCCAGGGGTTGCGGGGGCGACCCCAGCGATGGGGCCGGGTCCTCCGGGTCCCCGTAGCCCCCGCCACCGGGCGTGTGGAGGCAGAATACATCCTGAGGGGCAGAGAAGCAGGTTCAGCACAGGCATGGCCCCTCCCTGTCCCTGCCTGCAGCCCTCTCCCCAGCAGGGCAGCATCCATCACCCGCACCCCTGGCCAGAACGTGCCCCCTTTCCTTTGGGAGTCAAATTAACTCGATCTCTGGTTATTTTTACAACTTCGTTCACCTTCTGTGGAATGGGGCCGACGAGGGGAGGTGGAAACAGGACAGGCCGCAACCCTTACCCCCGGGTACACGGGCACCGACGTCTTCCCACCCAGATTCACTGCCCGGCCATCCTTACGGATCAGCAGGTTTAGGCCGCGGGCACCAGACTCGCCCCCTGTGGGGAGAGGCCAGGTGCGAGGTGTCCAGGGAGGCCAGGAAGAGAAAAGGAGCTGGGAGGGTAAGACATAAGGGGAGGCCTAGCAGGGTGGGGGAGGGGGCAGAGCAGGCCTCAATGTCCTTAGGAGGCCACCCACCGTGGAGGCCGTAAGGCCGGAAGGCACGGCGCTCGGTCAGCACCGACAGGAGAGCCTCTTCGCGGAAAAGCAGCTCTCGGATCACACCGTCACCGCCCCGGAAGCGGCCTCGGCCCCCAGAGCCCGACCTCAGCTCGAAGCGGCGCAGGATGACCGGGTACCTGCGCGGGCACTGGATCAGCGTGCCTCCAGCCCAGACTCCAACTCCAGCCCGCTCCCCAGCCCCCGGCCTGCGGTGCTCACCGGCTCTCCAGGATCTCAGGGTCGGTGATGCGCGTGTTGGTCATGTGGCTGTGCACACCACTGCGCCCGTGCCAGCCAGGGCCCGCGCCTGTGCCGCCTGCCACTGTCTCATAGTAGCCCATGTGGGCGTTGCCCAGGGTCACGTTGTTCATGCAGCCCTGTCCAGGGCAAGTGGCTACTGCGCTGAGCTGGAAGGGAGCCTCCCCTCCCCGCCCAGCAGGCCCCAGAACTGCACCCACCCTGCCACGCCAAACCTGGGAAGCTGCGCAGGCTCCAAAGGCCCTCAGGATGACGTCTACCACACGCTGCGACGTGAGCACATTGCCGCCCACCACCGCCGCCTCAGGGGAGGGGTCCAGGATGGAACCTCTGGGAATCACCACCCGCACTGGTGCCAGGCAGCCCTGTGCGTGGGTGGGGACACTCAGAGGCAACTGGGGGTGGGCCTCACTCTCGGGCTCTGGGAGAAACACACCCCCAGCACCCCTGGGATCAGTCTGGAGTTGGGCTGACCGACTCTCAGACATACTCAGGGTTACCTCGCACTCGGTGGGGCTCCCCCTCACACACACACACCCCTGCAGACCTGGTTGAGCGGGATGTCCCGGCCTACTAGGCAGCGTAAGCAGTAGATGAGGGCGGACAGCGTTATGGCCCGAGGTGCGTTGAGGTTGCCAAATACCTCAGGCCCAGTGCTGCTGAAGTCAAACACGGCACTGCCCTGCCCATTCAAGGGGAGGGAAGAGGACGTCAGAAGGTGGGCGGCCACGCCCCTGACCCCCAAGTGGGTGCACTCCTCAGGCAGCCTGACCTGACTCGGGTTGATCTGCACACGGAGGTGGATGGGGGAACCGTCGTCCATGTGGTCCTCTGCAGACACCTCCAGGGGCAGGCCCTGGGCCTGCCGGGAACTTCCAAAGGTCCTCAGCATGTCACGAACTGCCAACTCAGCGTTTGCCTAGCAGGGAGAAGGTTCAGCAGCAGTCATGCCACCTTCAGGGTGGCCCAGCTGCCTAGGGGCAGGCACAATGCTTTCCCCCAACTCATGCACCCAGGCCCACCTGAATATGGCCCATGTAAGCCTGCACCACGTCCAGACCATACTGCCCGATGAGCTCCCCCACCAACTGGATGCCCTTCTGGTTGGCTGCCACCTGGGCACGAAGATCTGACAGGTTGTCATGCAGATTCCTGGTTCCACTACAGCTAGGGATCTTGCCTGGTGCACGCAGGGCCTCAGTCACCGCTGGATGGACAGGGTCACCACTGAGCCCTCTCCAAGCTTAAGGGCTGCCTGGTGCCCTATTCCACACCCACTGTACCCCAACTAGGCACTGGAGCCCCCAATGTTGGCCCTTCACTGGCTCTCTACCTCCCCTGCTGACTCCTGCAGTACCCTAAAGACCCCAGCCTCCACCCTCCTCCCACCACAGCCCAGCACCCCAGGGCACCCTAGGCTTGGGCAAGCAGCTTTGCCAATGACCTCACTGGAGCTGGAGGTGCCTGGAGCAGGAGGCAGTTTCATCCCTCAGCAAACTCTGCTCCCTCCTTCATCCCACCTTCTCTGCCCACTCCCCTAGACCCTCCCCGACTCGCCTGCCCTCAGCCCTGCCAGCTGCCCCAGCCAAGTACCTTCAAAGAACATCAAGGTGCACCTGTCAGTGCCATCTGCACTCCTCCCCTAGGTTTCCCAAGTCTGGACAAGGTCTACAGCCCCTGGCAAGCAGTGAGGGCTGGCCCCAGGACCACTCCCCACCTCAGGAAAGCCCCTCCACCCTGGAGTCTGGGTGAGGGTCCTTTCTGAGGCACCCTAGCCCCAGCCTCTGCCATGTGTCTGCACGTGTCCCTCCATGAGCCTTGCCCCTACCCCAGTTCACAATGACGAAGGGACCAGCCAGGCCTGGACATCCTACTTGTGTCCCCAGCGCCCAGAGCAGGCTATGACTCTGTTACCCCCACCCTGGCCACGGCTCCTCCCTTCACTCCAGATGCCTCCCTGAGTTCTCTGTCCCACCTGCCCTGTGCCAGAGCTCCACCCTCTAACTGTCCAACTCGACTCCTCCCTCCTCCCCTATATCCCATCAAGCACTTGCCTCCACCTCCACAACAGCCCTGTCCTCTGCCTAGCTCAAGGCTCAGCATCACTTGGGGCAACGCAGCTGCTCCTACCCCACTGCCCCCACCCCATCACAGGGCCACTCAGACCCCTATCCTCTCTGCACCTGGGTGTATAGGTAGCCCAGCACGGGCCCAGCTGAAAGCCCTTCACAGCTGCCCCACCCCCCAGTGACTCAGACCCAAGCCCAGAAAACTTTCCAGGAGCCTGCAGCCCCTGACCCTGGCCCCGCTGCTTCTCCAAAGCCCCTACCCAGCATAGACCGCACACACCACCAGCAGCTGCTTACCTTGAAATAATTTCTCCCCCGCCAGCAGCCTGACCCTGGGTGTCCTGGCCACCTCCCCATGTTCAAAACCACCTCCCAGGAGGCCTTCCTGGGCCCAGGCAGAATTCTTCTCAGCTCCTGCCATCATCTCAGAGAGATGATCTGCATCTGCCCCCTGGAGTCACCACCTATCTCTATCCCCAGGTCCAGCCCCTCCTGGTTGCCAGCAGTAGCCACATGTCCCAGCATGCTGAATGCCACCCCAGCCCCACTCCTACTCCCACTCACCCTCCTCCTGGAAGACGCCCCCCTGGACAAGTTTGAAAGACAGGAAGACGGCCCCCTCCTGCTGCAGCGAGGTGGAGTGGGGGGGCATGGAACCTGGGGTAATGCCCCCAATGTCTGCGTGGTGCCCTCGGCTGGCCACATAGAACACAGGCCGTGTCTGACCTGGCCAAAACACCTGTGGGGGTGGAGAACAATGGTCAGCTGCATTGGCTGCCCTGCCCCACCAAAGGTTGCGAGGCAGTACCCCTCACCGGTGTGATGACAGTCAGATCTGGAAGATGGCTGCCCCCTGCACTGGGGTGGTTACTCAGCAACACATCACCAGGGTGGAGGTCAGCACCCAAGTGCTGGATCTGAAACAAGACGATAGGTGCAGAGTGGGAAAGGGGGGGTAGGGCACAGGTAGGTGGGGAGCAGGGGAGGGGCTCACCACACCTGGAACTGCACAGTCTCCTGCATGGCACCAAGATGCACAGGGATGTGGGGAGCATTGGAGACCAGCCCCCCGTCAGGCCCAAAGAGGGCACAGGAGAAGTCAAGGCGCTCCTTGATGTTGGTGGAGATGGCTGTGCGCTGCAGGATACGGCCCATCTGCTCTGGGGACACAGAGTGACCAGGTACATGCTGGCACCACTCACCCACAGCATGGCCCCAGGAAAGAGAGGAACAGGACCCACCAGGTTCAAGGCCTCCCTGGCCCAAACCCAGGACTCAGTAGCTTTTCCTGTGTCCTGGGAAGACCAAGGTGGTGGTCTGCCCACCTGGGCACAGTGAGGCTATAGCCAGACCATGTCCTGGTCTGTGTGAAGGGTACCACCTTCTTCCCAGCCCTGCTTGGAGTTACCAGCATGAACCTGGTACCTCCTATCAACCCTGTGCTCTTTGCCATGGGCATGCTTTCCCTCTGTACACCCCTACCAGCCACCACACATGACAAGACCAGTGCTGTCGGCCATGCTGCCTGTCAGCCATGCCGCCTGTGCCTACCTCTGCACCATTTGCAGAACCCCTGTGCCCTACCCCACAAGGAGCCAGGGCTGTGGGGAAGATGGCAGCAGCCACTCACCAGCAATGCTCATGAAACGGTGTGAGAAGATGGACAGCTGGATGGGGTCAACCTGAGTGCCCACTGTGCCGGAGGCTTCGGCCCCCACAGAGATGCGGATGTCTCCTGTCTCAGTCACCTCTGCCTGGCAACCTGGCTCCACCAGGATGGTGCTGGGGGCAGGGAGAACAGAGAGTCTGCAAAGTACCAGGCAGAGCCCCCCCAACCAGGGACCCCACAGCCCCAAGCCAGTGATGGGACACACAGAGTCCCTCAGGCCCCTGTGGCCAAAGAAGCCCCTACCAGGGACCCCAGTCCCCCCTCCACAGGCTCCATCGTGGCCAGCCTTGCCCACCTGTTGCTGTCGATGATGAGGCAGGGCCCCTGAAGCTTGTGCCCATAGCCCAGCTCTCCTAATAGGTACACAGGGGTTTCCTGGTAGCCCCCCTCAAAGTAGCACTGGGTCATCTGTGGAAGAGCGTAGGGTGAGTACAGCCTCTCGGTCCAGCACCCTTCCCAAGGCTTCTCAACAGGGCATGCTCTCCCCACCAACACCTAGTCCCACGTCCCATGGCTCTGGGAGGGCTGGCATGGCAGGACCACCAACCTTGTCTACCCGGGGAGGTCCAGTCTGGACTTTAGGGGTGTCCTCAAGGCGAAGCCTGCTGTGACCAGTGCCCCTCACCCTCACGTCGTCCACCACCACTGGCCGCTCAGGGATGACAAAGCCAAACTCCCTCATGTACCTGCCGCCCCCGGCCCAAGGGAACCATCAGGGCAAGGTGGCCAGGCTGGCTGGCCACCCACCAGGGCCCCCAAGATGAGGAGCTCACATACCTCTCCACGAAGGCTGCCCCGAAGTCGCCAGCCCGGGGTGAGCGGGCTGTGGCCGGGTGCTGGTGGGCAGATACCATTAGGGCACAATCCGTGCCCTGGTAGCGCAGGTGCAGGAAACTCTCAGTGCTGATCTGGGACCTGGGGTAGGTGGGTGGATGCGGCACTCACATAAGAGCCTGCTGGCCTGCCCCCACCCACCCAGCACCCCACAAGAACACCTGTCCTGTCTTCTCCAGCACCTGGAGTCCAGGAGCCCCTTCTGACCATTGCCCTGAGAGCCCTGGGAGCCCACCTGGAAAAGCCCTGGGCCCGTAGGGCATCCACACACTGCTCCTCCAGGCGGCTCAACCTCTGGTCCAGCTGCACGAAGGTCTCAGGTGCATAGGACAGGGCACAGGGCTCCTGTGCCTCATGCACCACGTCTGCCAGGGCCAGGCCCAGTGCCGACAGCAGCCCACTATGCCTGTGGGGACAGGGGCGTGGTAATAGGAGCACCTCCCAAACCTGGCTTCCCAGCCCAGGGCATATGCACACCAATGCAACACGCCAAGACCTACCTGTGGATGTGCACTGTGTCCATGCCTAGGGCCCGAGCAATGGCACAAGCATGCTGCCCACCAGCTCCCCCGAAGCAGGCCAGCACATGGGCTGAGGGATCATGGCCTCGTGCCTGGAGAGCCAGAAGGAGTCAGTGGTCTCTCCTACCCTGCCCTCCCACCCTGTACCCTTCCTGGGGTCAGGGAGCAGGGCTGGAAGGCAAGCAAAGGTGGACGTACCTGCGTGAGTGCACGGATGGGCCGGCACATGGCCTCGTTGGCCACACGCACAAACCCCATGGCCACCTCCTCCAGGCTCAGCGGGGAGGCCAGGCAGGGCCCGTTGGTCAGAAAGCTGTTAACCTCAGTGGCCACAGCCTCCAGGGCCTTACGGGAGGCCTCGGGGGATAGCGGCTGATCCTCGCCCGGCCCAAAAATGCAGGGGAAGGAGGCAGGCAGCAGGCGACCCAGGACCAGATTAGCATCCGTCACTGTTGCAGGGCCCCCTGGGAGGTGGGTGTGGAGTGGGGTTTGGAGCTGGAGGCCAGGGACCAGGAGTGGGTAGCCAGGATGAGGCTGAAGGGAAGGGCTGGGGGCAACTGGAGGAGAGACAGGCCTGGCTGGGCAAATACTGGCTCTTACCTTTGCGGTAGCAAGCAGGGCCTGGGTGAGCTCCTGCTGACTCGGGCCCAACCACAAAGAGGCCAGACCTTGGGAAAGGGAGGACTGGAATTGGAGGTGGGAAGGGAGGTAGGGCTGGGTGTCCCCACCCAAGAGGTGGTAGGGGTGGCTGACCTGAAGAAGAGACGGGAGCCTCCCCCAGCGGCCACTGTGTTGATGTCCAGCTGAGGAGCCTGGAGGGTGACACCAGCTGTGCTGGCCTCAAAGACATGTTCAAATTCCCCAGCATAGCGGCTCACATCCGTGGATGTGCCTGGAGGGATCGTGCTGGGAGTCACTCGAAGACCTAGAAGCCCAGCTTTGCTCCGCCTGGCAGCTGAGCCTCCCCCAGACTCTGCCCTTGAGGCTTCATACCTCCCATGTCAAAGCCGATGACAGGTTGGCCACCCTCCACCTGGTAAGTGGTGGCTGAGTAGCCAACTACACCACCAGCGGGGCCTGAGAGCACAGCACGGGAGCCGCTGAAGGTGTCCATGGGCACCAGGCCGCCATCAGAGCGCATGAACAGCACCTGCACATCCTGTGAACCAGCGGCAGGTGGCAGTGAAGGGCCAGGCAGGCATAGGGCCAGGGCCAGGAGTGGGCAGCCAAGGGGCCTCACCTTGAGCTGGCCCTGGAAGCCTCGGCGGAAGCCCTGCACATAGCGCTGGATAGTGGGCGTGAGATAGGCATCGGCGCAGGCCGTGTGCCCCCGAGGAACGATGCGCACCATGGGCATGGCCTCAGAGGACAGGGACACATGAGTGAAGCCCAGCTCCTGGGCCAGTGCACCCACCTGCTGCTCGTGCTGTGTCCACCTATGACGAGAACCCGTGGTGCCGCGGTGCCTGCTGAGGCCCACCACCCACCACCCTAGGCTTGCCACCGGAGGCCCTCACTCACGTGTACGAGTGCATGAGCACCACAGCCAGGCTGCGGATGCCTCGAGATAGGAGCCCTTCCAGCTTCCCACGCAGGGCCCCCAGGTCCACCGGCCGCTGCACTTCCAGCAGGTCCCCTGTGCGGCCTGCCAGAAATCTCATCACAACACAAAGGCCACCAGGATCTGCCAGCCCCCAGATCCTATACCTGCCACCCACACCCGCACCTTTGACGGGCGTCCCGGCGCCTGGCTCCCCTCGATACAGCACCACGCGCTCATCTACCTCCAGCACCTCCTCATACAGCACCTCAGGCATGGGCACGGCCTGGGGGTGGGCAGAGGCTCAGAGGAGGCCCAGGCTTAAGGGTCCTTGGTAGGGTCCTGCGTGGGTGGGCAGGGCAGGCGAGGGGATGTGTCCCAGCAGGCCAGTCCACGGGCCCAGGAGACACAATCGGACTGGGCGGTCCTGGCAAGGACTAGCCAGTGGTAGGCTCTCTGCCCCCAGGCAACTGAGTGCAGCCAACCGCCCGTCTCCACAGGGGCAGCTTCTTCCCAGAATCCAGCAGTGGGGGCAGGGCTCCCGCCTTTCCCTCAGCCTGAACAGGGCTGGCTTGGGCTGCCCTACCCCAGGGTCCAGGATAGGGCATGTTGGCAGGGAGGAACAGGGTACCATGTACCCACTCAAAGGGCTGGGGGGACTCTGCTTGTTGGTGGGTACCCTGGGGCCACCACTACCCTTCCAACTGCCTACCCCATGGGGTCATGGCACCCCTGGAGATGTGTGAGCCACATAACCCGGCCCCCTGCTGGCATGGAGGAGCTCACCAGGTCAAAGAGGTCCTCACGGGCCTGGGTGCCAATGTGCAGAAGGTCTCGGAAGCCGCGTGTCACCAGCAGTGCCACCCGTTCCCCCCGCCGCTCCAGCAGTGCATTGGTGGCCACTGTAGTGCCCATGCGGATGCTGGCAATGCGGCTGGTGTCCAGCGGCCGGTCCCGGGGCAGTGGCATGCCCCCCTCCTGGGGACCACATGGTTAGCGTCAGGCTTCTGATGGTGGGTCCCTCCCCACCCCACCCACTCTGCCCCGGCCCACCTGCTCCAGAATGCGGCGGATGCCCTCAGTAGGTGCGTCTGCATAGTTAGCAGGATCCTCTGAGAGCAGTTTCAAGACCCGCACGTGCCCACCAGGGCACTGGGCAAAGACGTCTGTGAAGGTGCCTCCACGGTCGATGGCAAAGTGGAAGCGGCCCTCTGGGGTGCCCATGATGGTGGGGCCTGTGCCCAGTAGCAGCTCTTCAGCTGGTAGCCCCGGGAGAACTGGACAGAGGTGGGGGTCAGCCTGGGTGCATTGGCAGTAGGGCTGATCCCTGAACAGGGTGAGATCAGGGAGGGGGGCTTCCCAGTCCAGGAGGGGTCCTGGGGGAGAGACCCACGGGCACGACTCTGGGCAGAGCCAGAGCTGCAGGACGGTTCAGAGAGCGGCCTGAGTCAGAGCGAGAGCTGGACAGGCCAGTCAGCCCGCCGGTCCCCCCAACCCCTTACCCACTTCTCAGTGTTCCTGGGTTGCGGAAGAAACCGGGGAGCAGGCGCTTCGCAGGCGGAGGCGCCGCTGGACCCTAGAGGCCGCCGGCGGTCCTGGCTCCTCCAGCACGAAGAGGCACGGGGTCGGGGTGGGCAGGAGAGTGAGCCGCACTTCCCGCTTGGCTCGACCTTGGGCCAGCCCACGCTGGCCACGGGATGGGGCGGAGCCTATGCCACAACGGGGCGGGGCGCGTGACCAGGGGCGGAGAGGGGGAGGTGGTGCGGGGAGGGGAGGGGCGGACACCCGGCGGCGCGCCCACCTGGCCTGCGGGCTGGGCTCCAGGCAGCTCCCAGGGCGTGGCAGTTCCCGGCCCTCCCTGCCCGCGCCCTTGCGCTTCGCGGAGGGGCCTTCGGGCCCGCCCAGCCCAACCCGGCCCGGCCCTAGCGGTTGCGTCAGTCCCGGGCCTGCCCGGACCGTGCAAGCCCGGCGGCCCGCAGCCGGGCTCAAGGGCACCTTGGCGCTGCTGGCCGCTGCCCCAGCTGGCCGACCATGGGCGTCCTCAAAACCCGCCGCCAGGGCCGGGCGCAGTGGCTCATGCCTGTAATCCTAGCACTCTGGGAGGCCGAGGCGAGGCGAGCGGATTGTTTGAGCTCAGGAGTGCAAAACCAGCCTGAGCAAGAGCAAGACCCCGTCTCTACTAAAAATGGAAAGAAATTAATCAGACGACTAAAAATATATATGAAAAATTAGCCGGGCATGGTGGCGCATGCCTGTAGTCCCAGCTACTGGGGAGGCTGAGGCAGAAGGATCGCTTGAGCCCTGGAGTTTGAGGTTGCTGTGAGCTAGGATGACACCACGGCACTCACTCTAGCCCAGGCAACAGAGTGAGACTCTGTCTCAAAAAAAAAACAAACAAACAAACAAACAAACAAAAAAAACCCGCCGCCAGGTGCCCGGGGCTGCAACAGGGCTGCCCTGGCTGGTGGCCTCCGTGCGATGGGGGAGTAAGGGCGGAAGGGAGACGGAAGGAGACGTTGTCAGAAGGAACTGGACCCAGTGCTTGGTCCACTGGCCACACCACACGGACACACGAGATCTGGTTGATTAAGGGCAATCCAGGATCCGATGCAACCGCCTTACGCCCTCTGATCTTCGCCCCGCCCCCTCCACCAGTCCAGACTCTCTGCTGGCCCCCTGGGTCTCTGCTCTCCAGCCCTTCCAGGGCCAAGGGCGGGGACTCCAGCACCCCAGTAGACAGGGATCTGGCTCAGGATCAGGCACAGGGGACCCACTGCCCCAGAAATGGGCCGCTGCCATGTCTGGATGACTAGCTGCTGAGTGGCAAGTGCCCTCCATTGTGCTGTCCCCAGATCCCTAGCCGTGGACCTCCCTCCTATCTCCATTCCTACACCCAGCCAGGGCCTAGACCATCACACCACTGCCGGGCTGCAGGAGCCCCACGTCGACTGCTCGGGTCAGCAACCACATTCACTCCAAGACCTCCCCCAACAGGCTTCTGCAGCCTCCCACTGGGACCAGCCCACTCACACCTCCAAGCTCCTGGGTGCTTGGGCCCCCTCTATTCCCCCAATCCCCATACACCTCTCTAGCCTGGCTCTTAGCCCAGGGTGCACCAGAGAGGATTCCACAACCCCACTCATAGCCACCACCACCTGCTGCCCACCTCGCCCATCCCCGGGCCGCAAACCCTCTCACTGCCCATGAGCATCACCCTAGCCACCCCACCTTCCCCGCCCCCCACCCCTGCTGGCTCCTTGTCTTCATCTGTCCCTGAAAGTCAGCGTCCCAGCTGTTCCAGTACATATGCCCTGGGGTAATGTCTGTTTCTGTCAGGGACCAGGCCTGCAGGATCCGCCCACCTCCTGTCTCTCCCTGAATGGCCAGACACTTCCCCAAGCAAGGGGCTCATTCTCTCGAGACCTAGGGTCACCTCCCAGCATGCCTGTTTCAGGGGCAGCTCCCCTTCCAGCACTCAGGCCAAACCCTTTGAGCTGCCCTCAAGGCCCTCTCTCTCACATCCCCTGCCCAATCTGCCACAAGTCCTGTTACTTCCATCTTCAAAATATATATCCATCTCTGCATGTCAAGGTGTCACTTTAGAAAACAGACAAAATATATATCCAGAGCCTGATATTTTTCACACTTCCACCCTGACCAACCAGGCTTTTGTCCCTTCTCTCCAGGAGTGAGACTATCCTCATTCCCCCAGCATCAGTCTAGGGAGCCCAGAGAGCACAGGGCCAGGAAGAGATAGGGCCTGCCCTCAGGCTCCCTCTAACACTGTGAGGCCCTCCTGGTCCTTTTCTGCCCTTTGCTGCAGCAGCACTGGCCTCATCACTGTGCCTGAGGCACACCCATCTTGCCGCCACCTCAGGGCCTTTGCACAGACTATTTCCTTGGCCTGCAAAGCTGAATTTCAGCCTTGTGGCTCCCTCATTTGGCTCCCACTCTGTTTGGATGTCACCTTCTCCCTGCTGTGCTTCCTGAAAGAGCCCCACCCTGCCCCCTTGCCCTTTGCTTTGCTCTGAGATCCTCGAGATCCCTGCAGCACTAGTCAGCACCTGGCACCCCCAGCTCCTTGGGGGCAGGGCTTCTGCCTGGCTTCTCTCTGTCTTGGCACAAGCTGAATGAGTGTAGCCTTGTGGCCTCTGAGAAGAGCCCCCACCACTGCTCACCTCTGTCGGCATCCTTGAATTTGATTGTTCTTCGCTTGGGCAGCCGGGGACTGGTAGTGACCTCAGCCAGGAACCCAGAGCTGCAGAAGCCCAGGCTGCTGCCCCGGTTCCTGAGCACCAGCTTCAGCTCTTGGTTCTCTTGGATGAGCTGCACAAGCCGCCGCAATTCCTCGTTCTCCTGTGCCAGCCGTTGGATCTCCTGTCGCAGGCCCTCATAGCTGCTGAGGAGGGACATGCCCGGCAGCCAGGGGCAGCAGCTGGCTGGCAGCCGGCAGGCTGGCCAGGGACAGCAGATCCCACCATTATGAGGTCAGCGGCTGTCCCTGCCCCCATGCCTTGGCCACATTCCAGGACTTCAGGGTCAGTGCCCAGCTGTTCTGACCACCTATGGTGGGGCTCACCTAACCTCTGATTTCTGGCCCCTGAAGGCCAAATGGCCACTATACGCCCAGACCTGCCCCAGGCCTCTGGGTCCCTCCAGAAATCCCCTCCTGGAAGATGGAAGCTTCTTTGTCCCAGGCCAGCCCAGGTGTGTTATGAAGGGAGGGAGAGAGGATCCAAACATCCCCACCTGCCCACCTGGCTGCCACTGGCCACCAGCTGCAGCTTCCCAGTCTGCCTGTGCCAGGACATGAGTCTGGGCACCTGGGCATGATATCTGGGCAGTCACAGTTGACATGGCATCTAAGGGGTCAGGGAGGATGGGTGCATAAGCTGCCCTGCAGGAAGGGGACATTTCTGGCCCAGCAACAGCAGGAGCTGGACAGAGGTGACCAGGGCAGGTCAGCACTGCAGGGGTGTGGGTGTGCCAATGAGCACATTAGGAGAGCATGGGATGGGGCTGCAGGCAAAAAGATGGACCTGGCAGTCCATCTCAAGTGCCACCACAAGGCAGGCTGGGCCTGTTACAGGGGTGGCAGGGCCACAGCATTGTCACATGGAGGGTGCAGCAGGCTTGCAGGTACCCTGGAGGAGGAACCATATCTGGGCCACAGCGTTGTGGCTGAACACCTGGGCCTAAGGACAGGGGATTCCCCAGGGACAGGAGAGCTACCCCCAAGGGTGACAATGGGCTTGTATTTTAGATCATATAAAGGATTTTCTTCTTTTATCCAATTTATCTTTTAAAGGGACACTTCTCTGCAGTCAGTTTGATTTTGTGGCCTTTTCTTACATCATGATTATTTATTTCACATCATTTTTTCTCTTTTTGCTTATTGATGGATGTAGTTTCCACTTGTTTTTTTTTTTTTTTTTGGAAAAAGGTCTCACCCTTTTGCCCGGGGTTAGAGTGAGTGCCATGGCGTCAGCCTAGCTCACAGCAACCTCAAACTCCTGGGCTCAAGCAATCCTTCTGCCTCAGCCTCCCGAGTAGCTGGGACTACAGGCATGTGCCACCATGCCCGGCTAATTTTTTCTATATATATATTTTTTTTTAGTTGTCCAGATAATTTCTTTCTATTTTTTAGTAGAGACAGGGTCTCGCTCTTGCTCAGGCTGGTCTCGAACTCCTGACCTTGAGCGATCCACCCACCTCGGCCTCCCAGAGTGCTAGGATTACAGGCGTGAGCCACCGCGCCCGGCCTGTAGTTTCCACTTGTTAATTTGCAGATTCTTCTGGGATTTTCATGTTCCCTTCCCTGGCTACTTTAGTGGGGCACAGTGGCCCCTGGTGGGGAGTTCTCACCTGTGGTGGCTGGGCGTTGGCACTGCTGAGACCAGTGCTCCAGGAGACTAGGTAGCAACTTCACTAAACCTCAATGGAAATCATGACAATTTAAATAATTCCTATAATTAGGAAATGATCCCAATTCCAAGGATTATGGAGTAGAGTCTTTCTGACAGTACTAGAGATTTTACCCCAAAAGAATGAGAGGCTAAGTCAGTGAACTTCTAGCTCAGACATTCTCTGGAAGCCAGAGGGTAGATTATGGCAGGCAGAATTCTAAGAAGGCCCCAGAACTTCCTGCCGCACACACTCTGCATATCCTGAGAATATGGATTCTGCTCCCATGATTATGTTATGTTATGTTTTTTGGCACCACTGGGAAATAAAGGGAGATCATTTGGGCTAAGCCTGACTGAATCAGGTGATTCCTTCAAAGGACTGGCCTCTTCTTGGTGGAAAAGACTGGAAGCATGAAAGAGATTTTATGCACAGGAAGTTCTCTACTGCTGGAGGGGGTCATACGGCAAGGAATGTGGATGGCCTCCAGGAGCTGACTTATCATAATCAAAATTGAAAGGCAAAGACAGGCCAGGTGTGGGAGCTCACGCCTATAATCCCAGCACTCAGGGAGGCCAAGGCCAGAGGATTGCTTGAGCTCAGGAGTTCAAGACCAGCCTGAGCAAGAGCAAGACCCCGTCTCTACTAAAAATAGAAAAAATTAGCCGGGTGTGGTAGTGCGTGCCTGTAGTCCCAGCTACTCGGGAGGCTGAGGAAGGAGGATTGCCTAAACCCAGGAGTTTGAGGT